ATATTTACAGGATAAATGGTAATAAATACAGAGCCCACACTCCGAGAGGCAAAAGTCAGGGTAAGGGAACAGTGACCTTGCTCTGGGACCCCCCCACAACCGCTACCGCTGCTGGAAACACGTGTACAAAGGCCCAATTGTAAAATACTGAGATATTTTTTTTTTTTTAAATACAGCAGGAGGGCTTTACGAGAAGTTAAAATGCAAAATTAGATTATATTTTTTTTTTTTACAGTTTAATTAAGTGTTTCTACACGACCCTTTCGCTCTTTAAGGATTTAAAGAAGAGGGTTATCCATCCTCACTGGCTAAAAGCAACAAGTCCCGCTTAACTTTTCAATCCTAAGGAGCAGCAGATGGTGCTCACGGGGCTGAAACAGAGGATTTTAGGAAAAACCCACGTTTCCAAATCCCTGACGTGCACCCAAAGCGACCCAGCAGGAGCTTCTAGAGGCTCCCAGTGACGGCCATCGCCAGTGCAAACTGGGGTGATGGGCACCAAAAAGGTGGTGAATATTTTAAGGAACTGAAGAGCCAAGAAAGGAATAAACCCATAATAATCCAGGAATAAATGCCATAAACCCAGGATGGGACCCTGAAATCGGGGAATGAATAAGGACCTGGCTACTGCAGGTGCCAAGACAAAAGCTCCCGCCACGCTCCACCAAATTCCAGCACCGAGTGGCTTAAATCCTTCCAGATTATTTGCTTTACAGGGGTTTATTGTACAAAATACTTGGTTATTTCCTTTGCTGGGTGGAACCACGCTTTTGGGTAAGGACCACGGGACCTGCAAGACCTCTCACCCCGCAGGGATCACCTCTCCCACCACGGGGGGAAAAATAGCACCTTTAGGCATTTGGCTTTTCTGGGTTGTGTCTTTTGTGGCAGGTTTCAAAATCCCATCACCACAGACATCATATAAAATTGCTCCACGGCAAGGAAAGAGCGAGGTCTTCAGCTTTTTTTTGTTTGTTTGTTTGTTTTTAAAAGCACCAGAAGCAAAGAGGTGAAGGGTAAAAGGAGCTTTTTCCTCAGGAACAAGACACTTCTAACCGCGCTTTGTTGCTGTTGTCATCGAGCTGGAAGAAGGCAACAGTGGCCGATATGAACAAGGAGAACCCAACTACCTGGAGCAGCCCCACAGAGTCTGTTGGGAGACGCTGGGAGAGAAACCTGGTTCTTATTTATATATATAAAGAAAAAACCCCAGGTTTATTCGAAAATTTACAAGGAACCAGTGCAGCTGAAGCTGAAGGTTTGTTTCATGAATTAAGTAGGTCTTATGCCTCCTAGTGATGAAGGAGAATTTTCAGATTGGCAAGGAAGAACAGTGTTCCCAGGTGAAATCTTGGCCCCAGCAAAGCCTACGGGAGGGGAGCAGCAAGATTTCCAGCCAGCTAGGATCTCCTCACCTCGGCTTCCCCTGTGGCCCAGCTCGTCCTGCGCTTTGCTAAAACGCCTCGGTTTTGTTACGGTTTGCATATATTTACGAAAAAGGCAGCTGAGCAAAGGGAGAAAAGTGACAATATCTGCGGAGAAGAGCGACAGGTAGAGAATTACCTGTGTCCTTTAGAGCAGAGGGTGCTTCTGGAAGCACCAACACGCGTTTCAGCGACCGCGGATAACCAAGGCTGGAAGACGGGATGTGGGAAAGACGCCAGTAGGTCCAAGAAACGTCATAATCTTTCTCTCTTTGATGGTGACTCTTTTGGAAGCTAAGAATCTAAGAAAAGAATTTGTAAGGCTGTAATCTGACTTGCCTTTTGATCTATTCGGCTCCATAAAAAATAATAAAAACTCTCTTTAAATAACTTTTTGCAAAAAAAAGGCCTGTACCATCCAGGGAAGCCCTCCAACACATACATCCATTTGCTTTCACAACGTCAGCTTGTAATTCCACTGCTGCTGGGATTTTACCACACAGACAAGGTGTTAAAGAAAAAAAAAAAAAAAAAAAGAAACCAAACCAACAACCACCAAAAAAACCTGCTTTGGACACAAAAATCTCCCTGGTGGGAAGGGTTGGAGGACTCATGCTTCACCCACGGCGCGGCAGAAGCTCTCCCTCCCTCGGATGCAACGCGGCCGGCTCAGGGCCAGAGGGGCAGGGAGAGGGGGGAAGGCAAAGTCAGTCGTTGCACAGACAGTATCCGCGTGTGGAACAGAGAAAGGACTCGTTTAGAAAACACAAGAGTTATTTTGCACACATGGACGACAACAAGGCTACTTAGTTTTGCTTTTTTTTCTTTTTTTCCAACATACTCTGTCCTCCCCCGCCCTCCCTCCCCCTACAAACAACAGAGCGGAACAAAAACCAAAAGAAAAAAAAAATAATAATATCCCTAAGAAATCCAGGTAAAATCCTTGTCGTTCTCCCCAGAGTTGTCCTGCTCCTGCGGAGAGTCGACGTCTTTGTCGTCATCTAAAATCACATCATCTTGTGACATGCCCACGTCGTCCTTCCACTTGATGTCGTCGTCGTCTCCCATCTCCTCGTCTCCTTCCACTTTGATGTCATCGGGGTCTTCCATGTACTGCCCTTCCCCGGGGTAGCACTCGTCTGGAGAGCCTTCTCCTCCGTTGTGGTCCAGGTGACCGGCCATGCCTCGGCCGGAGCAATCGGCACAAACCCCGTGGCGGCGAGAGCCGTGCTTGATCCCCACGCTGGCCGCCGACATGAACACTCGGTTGCACACTTTGCAGACGTATTTCTTGTCTTTGCTGTGGACCTGGGAGAGGAGAACCATCAAGAGAAGTTAATGCCAATGGAGATGGATCGAGAGCTACAGGGAAGGACACTCTCATAGAATCATAGAATTGCCCAGGCCGGAAGGGACCTCCAAAGGTCATCTAGTCCGACCCCCCCACAGTCAGCAGGGACACCCCCAACTAGACCAGGTTCCCCAGGGCCTCGTCGAGCCTCTCCTTGAATATCTCCAGGGAAGGGG